AATAGTGAAATAAAGCACGACAAGCATGAGATTTCCACACACATTCACAATAATGTTTTGATTTGTCATGTGTATGTTCCTGTGTTTAGTTATTGTGAATGGATCCGTGTACTGTACACTCTAAAAAAAGATGGTTCTTTAAAGGTTCTTTACATGTAGTAACGGTTCTATTTAGATCCATATAATCCTGAAGAACCCTTTTATGCGGAAATGGTTCTTTGTGTTAGAGTTTAGGGTTCTTTGTTCCCGCCCTTTTTGTTTTTTAAATCTGTAACTGTCAAAGCTCCATATTACTGATTTTATGGAGCTCAGTGATCCAACTACAGACTGTCAACACACTCTCAACAGGTAAATGATTTATTTTTTAAAAATGTCTATTATTTTCAACTTTTAAACTGTAACTGGTTTCCTAACAGTCATGTCTTTTTCTCTTTTTAGTTTAAGAGAACATGTAAGTGCGACCAGCTCTGTTCAGTTAAGGATACTTCTTTCCCCATCTCCACTAAGTAAGTAACAAAGATATTCAAATGTATGGTCCTTATTGTTATATGCATTTTTTATTACTTGGGTTTATGCATAAACATAACATTCTGAAGTGCTCACATGCTACTTTTGGCCATCATAAACAATTGTTTTTACATGAACAAATGGAAGGACACACATTGTAACTCTAAACTCATTTGTGCATTTCAGATGCTGTCACATCCTACAACCTCGTCATCTGCAGAGAAAAACTGCCACTCAGTCACACCAAAATGTGACTCTGCCTGTGAAAACCCAGCTAAAGTCTTTTTTTGTGTATGTGTGTGATTTACTGTTTTACATAAAATCGTTCTTTATAATGTAAAGAACATTCTGTGAAAATGTAACCTTGATATATTTAATATTGACTGAGTAAGGCCATTTCAAAGATTGAAATCATATTTTGATGCTTGTTATCTCATAATTAGATTTTGAGACTTTAGCCTCAATTTCACAGACAGGGTCACAAATACACATAATGATGGACTTACAGGCATCATAGAGGATTGTGAAAATACAGTATTTCACTAGAACTTGGTCTTCATTACACTATTTTCTCTTTCTGTTTTTGTTTTACCTCTGTATTTATGAAATGGTTCTTTGTGTTAGAGTTTAGGGTTCTTTGTTCCCGCCCTTTTTGTTTTTTAAATCTGTAACTGTCAAAGCTCCATATTACTGATTTTATGGAGCTCAGTGATCCAACTACAGACTGTCAACACACTCTCAACAGGTAAATGATTTATTTTTTAAAAATGTCTATTATTTTCAACTTTTAAACTGTAACTGGTTTCCTAACAGTCATGTCTTTTTCTCTTTTTAGTTTAAGAGAACATGTAAGTGCGACCAGCTCTGTTCAGTTAAGGATACTTCTTTTTCCATCTCCACTAAGTAACAAAGATATTGAATTTATGGTCCATATTGTTAGATTTATTTATTTTATTTATTTTTTTTATTACTTGGGTTTATGCATAAACATAACATTGTGAAGTGCTCACATACTACTTTTGGCCTTCATAAACAATTGTTTTTACATAAACAAATGGAAGGAGGCACATTGTAACTCTAAACTCAATTGTGCATTTCAGATGCTGTCACATCCTACAACCTCGTCATCTGCAGAGAAAAACTGCCACTCAGTCACACTAAAATGTGACTCTGCCTGTGAAAACCCAGCTTTTTTTTGTGTGTGTATGTGCGTGTGTGATTTACTGTTTTACATAAAATCGTCCTTTATAATGTAAAGAACATTCTGTGAAAATGTAACCTTGATATATTTAATATTGACTGAGTAAGGCCATTTCAAAGATTGAAATCATATTTTGATGCTTGTTATCTCATAATTAGATTTTGAGACTTTAGCCTCAATTTCACAGACAGGGGCACAAATACACATAATGATGGGCTTACAGGCATCATAGAGGATTGTGAAAATGCAGTATTTCACTAGAACTTGGTCTTCATTGCACTATTTTCTGTTTCTGTTTTACCTCTGTATTTATTTAAGTTCAATGTCAATTGTCATTTATTAAAGTATTCTGCTAATAACGGTTGTTAAAATCATTTTTGCTACAATTTCACGTCATTAAATAAAATTAAAATACCTAATTGACTCAACATGCTGTTGTTGTTGTTTTAATGAAAACCTTAATAGAAGCTATACGATATTATAAGACCAGGCAGATAGAGGAGTAAAAAAACAATAGCAATACATAATTTATTCAAATAATATTAATAAAACTAATATTAATTATATAAATATACTAATATTCATGAAAATAAACTGTCATTAAAAAGGTTATTTATAGCCCCATTAAGGTTCTATATAGCAGTTTCTAAGTGTTCTTTTTTGGAAAGACATCTAAATTTATTTTGAAAAAAAGCTTGCAGAAAATACAGATTTTTGAGAATCACCCTTCAATCTTTTGGCTTACTTTGCTGGATATAGCAAATAATGATGACAAAAACCTTTGAAACAAGATAAATGGTCTCTGCTTAATTTCATGAAGTGTGCGATTAATCACAGAAAAAGGGTGTGATTAATTAGATTAAAATTTTTAATCTATTGACAGCCCTAATATATATATATATATATATAGAGAGAGAGAGAGAGACATGACATAATCATAATCATCAAAATTTTTCATTTTCATATAGGAAGTTCTGTGATCTACTTTTATGAAAAGTTTTGGAGTTGGACAGCTCTTATACCATCCATTTTAATGAATAATATAATAATCACAATTTCCCACTGAATGAACACAGCACTTCAAGAGTAGTTTTTGACAGATGACATATAATTCATTTGACATCTGACATTCAAATCACTATTGGGTCGCCATTGTGTTGACAACCAAACCTCCAGAGTAAATCTCAGACGTCATCGATACAGGAAGCCAAAGCGTGGCTGGAGAACTAAGGGCATTAAACAACAGCTTACAAAAGCGTTCAAGTCAGTCTTCATATGTTTATTTGACCGAGCCATGGGACAGTCTGACATGTAAACTAGTACATTTAGTGGAGGTGTGGGAGAAGCACTGCTCTACAGAGATGAGCACAGGCATGAGTTATTCTCCTCTCACGGCTCCATACAGTAGATAAATATATATACACAACAGTATCTAGTGTGTTTATCTGAATGCTACACAGACCCCAATAGACATGAGAGAACAGCGGCGAGAAAGAGGTTCATGGAGTGACAGCAACACAGAACGAGTGTGAGGAGAGAGATGTGTGACACAGAGCTGCTGTACTGTTACCATCTACACAGAGAAAGTGAATATGTGATATTAGCAGAGAGATGATTTCACACTTTGGTCACCAAATGATTAAACGGTGGCCACACTGACGCCAAACATGAGCTCACTTAAGGTCATCGTGATTCTAGGGTGAAAAAAAAAAAAAAAAAAAAAAAAAAAGTCAGGGTCATAGTTCAACCTCAAAAAAAAAACAAATTTTTTTTTGAAATAAATTCGATTTTAAACACTTTTTTGGAATTATTTTCATAACTTTTCCCCCCATTTTCTCCTCAAATGTTAATTGCTTACTGTAACGGGTCGGGATATTTTAGGCAATTCTAGAATAGAAAAGAATAGAATAGACTTTATTGTATTTGTCTTGGACACTATGGCCCTGCCAGTAAACAACTTACATCTCACGCAACACAGTACATAACATACTGTAAATTAGAATATAACAACACTCCAAAAATAATAAAAGCTTGTCACATCTAATCTGAATTTTGAGATTTTCTATTTAAAATTTTGACTGCAGTTGGCACAAAATCATTTTTATAACGATTAGATTTATTTCCCATTCTAGATTAGATTAGATTAATTCTCATTCTCAGTGGTGATAGTTATACAGTACCAATACAGTATCCATAATAAATATACTACTATTATTATCTAATAAATACAATTGTATATATTAGGGAGGGAATGATTAACAGTTTGACGATAAACCATGATAAAATTCCCCACGGTTAATATTACCATTTCATATTGTAATTATCACTAAAACCGTTTTCGATTACCACGATTTGAACAACTCATCAGTTAATTATATGAATATACCTCTAAAGGTTCTAACAATCTTCAGAAAAGATTCGATGGCATTTTATTTTCATCTTCGCTCCTTGTAATACCTAATGAAGTAGTGTTTTAATCGCAATGCTGCTTTGTCCACGGAGGTTATGAGAATCAGCTGTAATTCTGCTGCTCCATAAGCGCCATCTAGTGTCAGAGAGTGGATTTACAGAGACATTTGCTTCTTTATTTTTTTTTAGGTTTACCATTTTATGAAACTTTTTCAAAGCTTTATTTGAACATTTCGTACGTTATTAGATAAACTGTTGTCAGTCATGTTGTCATTTAAAATCCGGGCATCATTGGTAATGTTATTGTTTTAGTGTTTATGCAAACAAATTATTGTTTGTTGATTTTTAATATAAAACTTGGTGAAACAATTTATGTGTCAGTACTTTTTGAACATTTCCATTTTAACAATACCGTACTAATACTGATAACCATGATAATTTTGTTCACTATAATCGTTGTTTCAAAATTTCTTACCATTACATCTCTACTAATTGCTCTTCATATGTTTATTTGACTGAGCACAATATGTTTATTTGATTCAATCAGCATAAATCAAAACATGTTTTAATGTATTCTTAATAAAATTTATGCAGCCTTGGTGAAGTATTTTTTTAAAAAACAAACAAAAAAAACATCAAAAGCAAAAAAAAAAAAAAAAAAAAAAAATTGCAATTATTCTAAACTTCTGAGTAACAATATAGGATACTTTTTCAATTTTTTCCATTTTTCTTTTTTTTTCTCGGAATTAACTCACTCTCTCCTCCATGGAATACAGAAGGAGTTATTTAGCAGAAATAATTAGTAAAAAAAAAGGTTAATTTGGTATGTGTTGCCATTTAATTTTATAGACAGACAGACGATAGATAGATAGATAGTTAGATAGATAGGTATGCACAAGGTAATGACAATTAGATTTTATTTTCTATTATAGTAATAAGAATTGTGGGGGGAAATATGCATAATTGGCATAATGCAAAAAAAAAAAAAAAAACGTATTATTGTATTTTTAATCATTGTAATTTTAAATAGCCTTCATGCAAAATTACTTTTGTAATATTTTGAGGTGAACTATGACCTGGATATGTTATAGTGAGATTGACCCAGTTAGTCCTTAGACTCTCTAGTGCTCCATAATGCCCCATGAACCAGAAAACTGAAGCCAGCTACAGGAGATCCGGTTCCTCTTCCTCAAACGTCCTACAGAACTCTACATCAACATGACTGTTTCCACCGCCATCTTCTTGATTGCTAGAATCAACCCAGCTGACATGGTTATTGTAAGGACAAAGAGCTTTATTTAGCATGTGACGTTGACTTTGCCTAATTGTGGGGCATCACTAAAGACGCAATGAACTCTGGGAAACGTCCAAAGGAACCATAGTGAGAAGATTCCGATTTGAGTAGATTCTGTTAGGATGTGTGTGGTGGATGTCAACTGGATTTTATTAGTGGGGTCAAAGTGCAAATGTCTTTGGCAGCTGCGGTACCATGGTAACACTGCAGTTGAGTTGGCATTGAAGGAGTCTTCAGTTACTGACGGCCTCGTCGATCGCATCGGCCACATCTGCAGCGCCATCCAGACTTCCTCTGGCACGCCAGATCTTCACTGTGCGGTCACTGCAGGGTGAAGCCAGATGAGCGTCAGAGTGAACAAGTGTAACGGAATTGTAAAGAATGTAATAATAGTTCTGATTCCACTTTTATGCAACAATCCTGGATCCTAGCAGTGTGCTTTAGTACTTTTGAGGAGGAAACCCCCTCCAAATAATGAATCCTAACTGTATACAAAACAAGTACATATATTAAACTAAAACACTAAACATAATATTTTTTGTAACAGTTTTTGATTTATTTATTTTAAAAATACATAAATCATTTATTGAGCACCATTTATTACAACAAATCTTACACATTTAATATAAATCTTTAAGTAATAGTCAGTAATAACACTGTCAGACCAACCAATTCATGAGTGTTGGTGAGCAATTAATTAAAAATAACTTGTATTGTTGTAGTTTCTGTCCACATCAGTGTTGTCTTAGTATCATTAAGATACTAGAGTTTGCATTAATACTTTGAATTAGTTTTTAGTTTTATATTTTCTGTTTTAATTTCAGTTAACGTTTTAGAAAATTTGGTTGTGTGTTTTGGTAAGTTTTATTATTATTATTTTTTTAAAATATGTCTATATAGTTTGAATTAATTTTCATTTCAGCTTCAGTTTGTTATTTTTGTTAAAGGGCACCTATTATGCAAAATCCACTTTTACATGGTGTTTGGACATAAATGTGTGTTGGCAGTGTGTGAACACAACCACCCTACAATGATAAAAATCCACCCATTCTTAATTTTGTAATCCCCTTTAAACCAAGTCAGTCTCACTAGGCCTGCCATTTTGATTCTCTCGCAGTGTGACGTCATATTGTTTAGGCCCCGCCCACAGCGGCTGATTGACAGCTCTGCATTGCTATAGTTTCCACCCTCAGCGGTTGTACGCTGTCCTCCATTTTCTCCGCGCTCGAGCAGCTGTAACGTCAACAATGTCTCGCAAGCAATCCCGATGCTCTGTGTTTGGATGTGAGACTGAAGATAAGAGTCTTCATTTTCTCACAACATCTGAGGTGCTGAGGACGCTGTAGATTACTTTCATTTTTCAAGGTAATGCGCCTCAAAATCTACCTAAATACATGTATCACTCCAGACTCCTTTGTGACTGTCATGTCGTTATACTGCTTAGCGTTTTAACCGTATTTGTGTGCGTACATTAAGTATTTTTTAACTGATCAGCGCCGCGCTTGTGAGATTAGTTCGCATCATTTGTAGCGCGAGATTCGTTTGGCAGGTCATCGCGCTGTTTCGTCCTACTTTCAGTGCATTTGGCTTCCCATATGTACGGCTAAACACCAGTTCTCTCGCTCTCAGTTATGTTGCTTCTACTGGCTGTTTACTGCTGTAGATATGCAATGCAGAGAGACGTATACACGACGCCCTCTTCTGGAGATGGGGCGGGAATATGCAGTTTATTTGCATTATCATTTGCATTTAAAGCGACACACTACAAAACAGCTCTTTTTTAGACACACCCCAAAAATGACATTTTCCAGCTGTTATAATAAATGATCTGTTGGGTATTTTGGGCTGAAACTTCAGACACATTCTGGGGACACCCAAGACCAAAATTACATCTTGTAGAAAGGGGCATAATAGGTGCCCTTTAAAATAAATTAAAATGAGCATTGAAAATTAACTGAAATGCATGGTCCATTTCAGTCAACTGACTCAAAACGTTCAATTCTTGTGCATCATCACTCAAAAATGTTCATGGAAGTCTCCTCATGGCAACTGACACGCGTTAAAATGTCTATCATTGTTTATTACCATATATGTCGGTGCATATAAATGAAATGAAATCTTTGTGTTAATATATTGAAAAATATATGGAAAGCTAGGTTATTTTTTACTAGACTTTTAATGTATTTTACTTTGATTATGCTTTGCAACAATAGCTGTTGAAATGAGGGTTCTCTGATTTCAGAGCAAATGACCCAGTTCAGCTCCAGTATGCACTATTTAGTTCTGAATTAGAACCAGTTCTTGATTCCCAGCCACAGTTTGATGTGTGTGTGTGTGTGTGTGTGTGTGACACTCACTCTGATGCAGTAAACAGATGGCTGCTGTTGGTAGAGATGCTGTTGATGGGGCTCTCGTGGCCTCTGAGTTCCCCCAGCGGACTCAGCGTGTCCGTGTGCCAGAGTTTGAGAACTCCTCCTCTACAGCCGCTCAAAAGCATGGGAGACGCCGGCACGACGCCCAGAGCACAAACCCAGTCACGATGAGCGTTGGGTACCTGCTGTAGGACAAGCAACATGTCAACTCATCAAATCCCGGACAAACACAAACACAGTTTGAGCCCTGATTGATTGACTTCATGATGAGGTAATTAGCCTCTTCCTGATCTCATCCTCAGCACTGATTAATCAACTGATTGGCTAATTGTCCTTGTGGAAGCTACTACACTTGCATTATAATGTTGCTAGAGTGGCTCCAAGAAGTATTTGGACACTTAAGCCACACTTTAGAATAAATGTGAATTTAATTTGTGTGTGTGTGTGTGTGTGTGTGTACTAGGGGTGTAACGGTACACGTATTCGTACGCAGGTGAGTGTGAGCATTCCTTCCTCTTTCCTACTAGTTTTAATGTGAAATAAACATGAATTAACATCTCATGCCTCATGTAATCGCTCAATCAGTGTTTCACTTGCGGAAAGATGTGATTAAAACGATTGGTGAACAAAATGTCACGTAGCATTTCATTTACCTCATTTAAGTCATCAGTGTCTACAGCTCGTCAGTTCACCAGAGAAATGAAGTCTAGAGAAGATTTCACAAAATATTAGACTATATACTCAAGGTACATACCGAACCGTCATGTTTGTGTACCGTTACACCCCTAGTGTGTGCATTTGTTTTTCTTCTAGTTTTTTTTTTCAAACATAAAAGCCAAAATCGACAGAAGTCAACCTTGAGATACAAAAATCAACATTATGACATAAAAAGTCGAAATTGACAAAATCATAATTATGAGATAAAAGACGCAATTTTGAGATTTTTTTGTACTTGGCAGAAATGGGCTATCATCTATATCCGCATCGCAACAACTCTGTTTTTGCATCCCCAACTTAAAATTAATATTAAGACTTGTTATACGGTTTAAATTTGATCAAAATAAATGTAGGACTTTTTAATGGAACACTCCACTATTTTTGAAAATAGGCTCATTTTCCAACTCCCTATACTCATTATATTTTACTTTACCTGTTAGTGATGTCTTAATTACTTAATGTAGGCTATATTTAAATAAATCGTTTATAAAACAAGTTATGACAGCCACTGTGTAAATGATTATATTTCAATAGCAAATAGAAATGGTAGGCTATAATTTAATTTTAATTTGAGTGTTGATTATTATAGTTAAAAACAAATAGTAATTACATTTAAGTTTGGGCTCTGTTGTTAATTGTAGCCTTATAGTAAAGAGCTCCCTATAGTTTAGTTTTTTATAGATTTGGGAGTTGGAAAATTAGCCTATTTTCAAAAATAGTGGAGTGTTCCTTTAAGGAGTTGCAGAAACCCTGATGAGTAGGCATATAGTATACAAATCATGTAGCAGATCTAGACAGGTGGTGCTGGGGGAGGTGGAGGGTTTCAGACGAATCTCAAATGCATCCGCAGCAAAATCAGCCAATTAGCTTGTGCCATGTAGTAAATTATATGATTTATAATTCCAAGCAGATTGCATATACATATTTGGTGTGAAATATTTACCGTTTAATCATATATTCTTTTGTCAGTATAGGTGGCTATACCTGCTGTAGGTCCTTGCGGGTCAGGTCCCATTTCTTAATGCCATTGTCTCTGGAGCCGCTAAACAGACAATCTCCCTGAACCACCAGGGACTCGATGCCATCGTAGTGGGGCGGCTCGAAGTTATGAGTGGGGCTGATACTACCCACAGCACCCTCTGTCACATCAAACATCTGCAGAAGCAAATCACATCTAATCACATCATATATATTGAGATTTTAAGTTATAGGGACCATATATGCTCAGTCTAAAGGCCACTGCAAACAGCATCAGTATATCATGTAACAGGAAGTGGACAGGTACATTTACTCATTCACTGCGCATCACATCAGTACACAAATGTGGCTCAAAATAAAATGTACATGCTTTTTGTTGTATAGAGAGCACCACACATAACATGCAAGGGCCATGTTGTGGCCATGAAATAAAGAATTTGTTTCCACAAATTATTAGGGAAGTATTTAGTACCACTTTAGTTATTTGTGACCACAAAATATATATATATATATATATATATATATTTATTTTTATTTTTTTTTCATACTGCATGTCATGTTGTCAAACCTAATAGATATGTTAGATAATCTGTTACAACAAGTTAGAATGAAATGTAGATGGTTTTTATAAATGTGTATCCTAGCCTGTCCCAAGATTGTGACCTTCCAACAAATAACGTCTTACAGCTTACTTTTGGCATAATCTGTTTAATGATCAGTGTATTCATTATAGTTACTAAGAGTAACTAAAAGTACTAAACAGTATTTAATTTTAGTAGTATTTAGTTTTCAAACTATATTAAGACATTTGGGGCCAGATTCACTAAACGGCAAATTAGTGTTAGAGTGCAATTCCATTAAAGCGCCGATGGGAGGGGAAAATTCTGCGGGTGATTTACTAACAATGCACACAATAAAGAACACAATAATGACAGCGCAATCTACCAAGAGTAGCGCAAATTGCTGCCTGCTTTAAGACATGCTTTTTTTGGCCGTTAAATAATGGTGCAAATACCAGTAATTTGATGAGCGCAAACATTAGTAAACCACGTTGCGTGATTCATTTTAATACTCTCCTCCCATACATTTTGCATTTGAAAGGGAAACTCCAGCAAATGCATATTCAATAAGGTCAGGTGCAAAAATAACATTTTCAAAATGACCACTGCAGATAAATATACAAACCTTGATGTAGTGATCCTTGGAGCCCGTGATAACTAGATCCTGTCCATTCCCAGTCTGATCAACAGTCAAGCACATGACCGGACCCAGATGACCCATCAGTTTCCCCGTACACACAAATCTGACAGAAAGAGATGGAAAACAAGTGAAAGAATTAGATATATTATGTAGCAAATTATTAACTTTCCAGAGTAGGTGAAATAAAGGATGCTGGGCCAAACTTATACCGTCTCAGGTCCCACACACGAACAGAGTTGCCTGCGGCAGCATAGAGAACAGTTCCAGACGGGTTCAGAAAGATCTGGTTGATCTGGTTCTCGCCGGCCGGGATGGTCACGGTGCGGTTCGTACTGGCTGCACATGTGTCACCAGTGTTCACCAGACCCGATGATCTGAAGGTAGAAATGCACAATCACAGACTGAGAAAATATAAATAATACCAAATGGCCATTTTAAATTTAATTAATACATTTTTAATTACTTCACGTTTTTATGAACATTGTCTCAAGCAGTACTGGGGATAACGCATCACAAGTAATGTTAGTTAAGTAACCAGATTTTTTTTCAAGTAGCTAGTAAAGTAACATTACTTTTTTTTTTACAGTACAATAAAATAGATCTAAGTTACTTTTTCAAATAGTAACGCCACTTACTTTGTTTCCCCATTTATTGACTGACAATGCCCTTTTTGCTGACCCTTGATGATCCAATTCAACCATACTAAGCAAAAATGACTAAACATAACATTTTTGTTTGATTTTTTTTTTCTTATTTCTGAAGAGTGTTGAACTTTCATTTTCCTGCACCCTCTATTGTACAGATGTGAATTTACATTTCCTCCAGCCTGAGGCTTATTCATTTCACTTTTGGTGTGAAAGGGCTGTTACATTTCCCAAAGACATAACTTTTTATATTAAAAATAAACAAGCAAGCCCAGCACAAATGAGAAAAAGTAACACAAGAGCAATGTAACACATTATTTTACATACAAAAATTAACACAATATTGTAATGCATTACATTTAAAAATAACTTTCCCCAACAAAGGTCATCTGACGCAAATTTGATAAAGACCCAAACGAAGCTGTTGAACAAGTCAAAATAGAATGTTTTCATTTCACATTTTTAATTAATATTTTTTTGTGCTTTAAAGAAATACACTTATTTTGTTGTGTTGACTAACATATTAAATAACATATGTAAAGTACTTATAATTGGATAGGGTTAGGATTAGTGTTTGGCTTAGTGTTACTTGCATGTAATTATGCATAATTTATGGTTATTATAATAGTAAGCACATGTAACGTGTAACAAGGACAGTGGACACCTTAAAATAAAGTGTTACCTACATTTTCATTTAATTGCACTTAACATGTAATTAAGTGTTCAAAAACATGACATGTGGTATTGGTATTCTGATAACCCTAATTTAAAGAATGCTTGTAGTTTCTTTGATATACACATGTTAGGTTGGACATGAACTCACGTGAGTGTCCGGATGCACTTTGCGGAGTCACGGATGTCCCAGACTTTGATGTAGCAGGTGGAGACTGTGAACACCAAGCTGTAGCTGTAACGCACTGATACCACATTGTTGGGGTGGCCGCCTAGAGACACGATCTCCTGTCCCGTGACCAGGTTCCACACCTTACAAGTCCGGTCTGAAAGCGGAAACGGCCAGTTTATAAAAACTGGTTAGACCAATTACTCTTACTAAGAAGTACTAAAAAATTAAGGAACTGGAATGGTTAATCTCATAACTCTCTGCTCTTGGTAACTCTGGAACTGCCATATCCTGGTTCACTTCCTACCACTTCCCACATCTTCAGTACTACCTCTGTCTCACACGGTGTTCCCCAGGGTTCTGTTCTTGGGCCTTGACTGTTCATCATGGCTTTAACTTCCATTGCTACACACACAACTTTACATCTGTTCTCAGTGCACTGCTCCTTTCCCCACAAACTCTGTATCGGCTTGTATCGATGACATAAATGTGAGGATGAGTAGTCATTTTTTTCTCAAACTCAACACTGATAAAATAGATCTACTTATTGCTGGTCCTTTTCAATTTGCATCCTGTTTCTGTGCTGACAGTGTTAATATTGCTGGAGTGCTGGTTTGACTCCTTCAGTTCTCTCTTCTATGGCTTACCGAACACAACAATAAATAAGCTCTAATTCATTCAGAACTCCACAGCTAGGGTTCTCACATACCAATAAACTCTCTCCACATAACTTCTATTCTACGCAGACTACATTGGCTACCCATTCACTTACATATTCAATACAAGATTCTTCTTATCATCACATTCAGGGCCTTCATGGTCTTGCCCCCATATATTTCTCACCCACCCTCATGAACTGTTTTCATGCTATCTTATGTTATGTTATGTTAACTATGTTCAGTGTATTGTCACTGTATTGTCTCTTTGCCTGCTGTTGTGTTTACTAAAGCAACCTGGTTGGATAAGCACAACAAAATCATACTAGCATAAACTATATAATGAGTGTTGAACGGTGTTCTGACCTTTTGACCCGGTGAAGAGGAGGTCATCTGTGGAGTCGACACACAGTACAGCTTTACTGTGACCTTCGGCTATATGAATACACTGCAGTGAGCCACCACGACTGCTCTTCGACACAGGAACAGGGTTGATGACACCTCTGACGCATGTCAAAAAAATCAACAATCAGTAGATTCCTCCATTAAATCTTGTGTATCGAGACATTGTCTTCTATCCAAACATTGCAGCAAACAGTGCCATAAAAATACTTTCCTGATTACCTCTTTACCTGTATATTTATCTATATATTTCATGTAATCAAATGTATTAGACAATGGAAAACAAAGCATAGTTTTGAAGACTCTGAGTGGTGGTGATATCTCCAGAAGTGTCCATCCCACCAACATTTCTCCCACAGCAAATCAGAATCTCATGCAGGATGTTTTAACAAAATACCAGAAAAACTTTAAATAAACTGTAGCCATCTCTAACATCAGCTAAACTCAATGTTTATGAACAATTAAGAATAAAAAAACCCCATGTTTGTCAGGAGGTTTTCTAAATAAACAAACAATCAAAGAGGATACCATGAAGAAGACAAATCATTTTATGGCACTGTATGATTTTTCAAAAATAGTTTATGAAACAAGTACGACAGGGCAAGCATGCCAATGCTGTCCAGAAATGTATCTATATGCAATGAAAAAAACATGTCTGATGCAAAACCAAATAGAAAAACAAAAATAAATCAGAAAATTAAATTGGAGTGGAGAGGCTTGTACAATCCCTTTTGTTTGAGAAAAGAACAGGGAAAGACTGAAGCACAATAAAGTTTAAACCTAAACCCAAACAATCTCATTTATAGTCACATTCATGTATTTTCTAGTATATATGTTACAAAAATATATGAATTGTGTACATGTTATTACATAATTTGGCAATTTAATAATCACCCTAATTCCTGTCGATATAAAAATTCTATTTAAAAGCAGTTTAAATACACATTCCCAAATTTTAAACCAGAACAGATGATGATGTTAACTTTGCCCCCTTTGGTCCTACAGACTATGATTTACTGATACAGTCTTGTCAGATGCATGGAGACATTATGCTGGGTCCCGCCCACAGAGTGGAACTCACTCTAGGCTCCTCCCATAACCACTGAAAACACTTTAAATACATGCACATTCACATACTCACAAATACCCACACACAGAGAAATCTGTTATTCAATTAACATATGAAAATAGTCTAATTTAAATGCAAATTAAAAACCAAAACACTTCAGATGCAAATAATCAGAGTAGTCAGCATTTGTAAGGCAAAAACTTCTCGTGGCCTCAGTTTACATTGAGTTATGCAAGTTCTAGAGAAAATATTATAACTGAACTGGTATATCACTCTGCAGGTCAACAGAAGGATTTTAGTTTCCGTCTTGTGGTGAAAAACATTGGCCTGGTCATCCCCTTAGAGACATTTAATTTGCAAGGACACTTATTTGTTTTAGACTACTGTTCATTCACTACCATGCGACAAGTTCTGCAGGGCAAAATCTATGACTACTGTACTTTCAAAGCAAAGCCAATTTGGTATTTTGTGGACACTTTTTATGTGGACTGCTAATAACACGACTATTGACAATACTCTGAATTAGAAAATGCCATGTAAATACCATTTTCTGGATTACTGAAAACAATCATTTGTCTAAATTGGAGTTTCGACCCCCTTCTGAGCTGTACACAATATGTGATTAATTCTCATTCTTCTCATTCTTAATAAAGCCAGTAGTGTGATTATTGCAATGTAAAGTGGCGTTTGTTTGACGTTAGGGTAAGAGTCAGAGAACATGCTTCTTCAAAACCTGATTTTTTTTCTTATCTTATATGCCAAACTTTCTACATACGATACTGTTTGCAGTATTCTGTTTCAAAGAAGATCTTAAAAAACAACAACAACACAAACAGGCAGACACCAAAACCTCCAAAAACTGCAGTAGTAACTTTCTGCCACTGGGGGGTGCTAGCTCTTACTGTGTGATCTCTTTGGCTTTGGTCTTGTCAGCCAGGGCTTGTCCCCTGTCATAAGTCTTCCTGTGAGACAGAGGGGATGGTTCCAGGATAAAATGGCCAGCATGCATAATAAAAGACATATCTGCTACTTCTGACAAACAGATATTTTGAATATATCGGCTACTTCTGGTAAACAGATATTTTGAATATATCGGCTACTTCTGACAAAAAAGATATTTTGAATATTTCGGCTACTTCTGACAAACAGATATTTTGAAAATATATGCTACTTTTGACAAACAGATATTTTGAATATATCGGCTACTTCTGACAAACAGATATTTTGAAAATATCCGCTACTTCTGACAAACAGATTTTATGAATATATCGGCTACTTCTGACAAACAGATATTTTGAATATATCGGCTACTTCTGACAAACAGGTATTTTGAACATACCTGCTACTTCTGACAAACAGATATTTTGAACATATCTGCTACTTCTGACCTTATTTGTATAATTGTATAGTTGTATTTTATATTTAAATCTGTATCTATCTGTATTTATGTTCTACTGTTAGTGTTATCTGTATGCACCAAGGGTCTGAGAGTAACGCAATTTCAATTCTCTGTGTGTATGTGCTGTACATGTGGAAGAATTGTCAATAAAGCAGACTTGACTTGACTTGACTACTTCTGACAAACAGATATTTTGAAAATATATGCTACATTTGACAAACAGATATTTTGAATATATCTACTACTTCTGACAAACAGATATTTTGAACACATCTGCTACTTCTGACAAACAGATATTTTGAACATATCGGCTACTTCTGACAAACAGATATTTTGAATATATCGGCTACTTCTGACAAACAGATATTTTGAAAATATCCGCTACTTCTGACAAACAGATATTTTGAAAATATCTGCTACTTCTGATAAACAAATATTTTGAACATATCTGCTACTTCTGACAAATAGATATTTTGAAAATATCTGCTACTTCTGACAAACAGATATTTTGAAAATATCTGCTACTTCTGACAAACAGATTTTTTGAATATATATCCGCTACTTCTGGCAAACAGATATTTTGAATATATCTGCAACTTCTGGCAAACTGTTAGAGCAAACCTGAAAAATTCTTCACAGCTGGTAAACTTTTCAAGTGAAATGTGATTATTCATGTTTTTTCAACTTGTAAATGGGAAAAAAGTAAAACGCTTTCATGCGACTTAAAATGTTTGGAATGCTTGTCAGACATTTCTATTCAGATTTCCAACACAGATGTCTGACTGTCATTTACTTAATACAACTTGTCTCAGCCTGTTGCTGTAGATCATCACAGTTGTGTTATTTTTGACCACACTCCCTTGTAAAAACTGTGTACAGCTCTTCCCTCTAGATAAGTAGTCCCCATGGCTTACTATGCTATTGTCATCTAGCATCCAGTAGTCCAAGTTCCAAGAGAAATAAAAGTTATTATAATAAAATAGTTAGGTCCAAAAGTTTTTACCATCAGTACCAAACAAAGTTTTGTTGTTTAGTGTTGTTAGCCACTCAGAACACGTGAAACAGCAATGAAATTCAAGTGAATAACACCCTATATTAGAGAAGACCTTCGGTGATGTTATCTGTATTAACAGCTACTGTAAACTGAAAGTGACCAGATGAGATCAGCCCTAACAAGGTACAACATTTAGTGAAAGAAAAAACATTGTAAAGTAAACATAAAACAGGAGTAGTTAGTTCATGCATGACGTGAGTTGGAGCAGTTAGTAAGCGCTCGGCATTTAGTCAGCAAAGTTTAAGATTACTATATACTTACATACTGCCCATTCTAGAGGACAAGCCAGCAGTAGGGAGCATGTAGTCCCGATCTCTGACTGTATTTCCAGCTGACTCCAGGTCTCCAGCTCCCTCAGATGTCTCAGCCATTGGGTGTAGAGGGACGGAGAAGTCTCTTGTTGGTGTGTCGGGGCCAGAGTCACAGTTGTTTACATAGAGTAACTCCATCTGAGTAGTGGTCCTTCTTCGGGCCTTTGCAATTATTGCAAAACAAATGGTCGTGGTTAGTTAAGTAAGGAACAGGAATTGGTTGTCATTTAGCAAAGCTTTCATCCAAAGTTACTTATTAGGTTCAGTCCAACTGAGATTAGGGGTCTCGATAAAGGTCACATTGATCCTAGCTCATGGATCACCCTTTGAATGGTTTGCACCTAAAATCGCTTGCTTACCAAGCTTTGGGTAAGGTAAAATTAAGGTAATTTCTCCCATACCTTAGTCCTAGATTTAGTCTCGCCACATAACTTCATGAGGTCTGAGGCCAGGGTGCTGAATTATGGGAAAAGATATTGACTTAGGTTTGCTCATTCAATGAAGCACAGTAATGAAAACAAACATATTTGTCATTAGCAGATTAACTTACTTTCCTTCCACTGCAGGACTTAGGGTCGACTCGTCGCTACTACTGTCATCACCATTTTCTAATGTTGAAAAAGAAATAAGAGAGTGTACATTAAAAGAACCACAAATGGGGCATTTAATTTACATCAGAAGAATTCCTTGGAAGGACTTGCAAAATTGTTGAATTAAGGCTAAATCACGCCAACGCTGTTATCTGTGATGTTGAAAAGAGGCTTTTGAGAGTGTGGTAGTAAAAAAAAAAAAAAGCAAATGAGGATAAATTAAGCACAGCGCTACCATGCTAGTTTCCTTAGTTGCCGTGAAACGCTGATCCAAACCGGTTTCTGATATCAGCTGTGACCAGAAAGAGGCTATCATCAAAGTTAGAGCAAAAAATGTTGTGGAGAAGAGGAATGAGGGAGCACAAATGGTAAATCATTCAAAAAGGAGGGAAAACATTAGTCGTACATGGTCTGGAAGAGACGCTTGTTTTCCTGCTGCCAGACTTTGATGTATGTTAATGCTAATAAGTAGCATGATGCTAGCTGGGGATTGATGTTTTAATATGGTAAGAACCGGTAGAGGATGTGTGGACAGATGAACAGAAGCCTCATGCACCTGCGGACGGGACCGCTAGCCTGTGGTTAGTCCGAAGAGGTAGACCCATGCACTCATTACAGAGAGAGTGTGGCTACTGGTACTCACCCAAGGGCATGTTACCTAGCTCTGTTTCAAAACGGCCAACAGGGGAACAGAAAAAAGGCGACAGAGAAATCAAACATACATTTCCCCAGATCAAAACAAAAACAAATGTTACACAAAGAAATTAACTTGTATGGTATGACGGGATTCATGGATATATACCCTAGCCCTAATCCTGTACCACAATACAATGTGAATATGGAAAAGACATTTCAAAAGGTCCCACTCTTTTTAACCAACACATTTCATTATCACAATTTTAAAATTTTCTGATATTTCCATGTGACCACTGAAAGCCTGTGTTTCACTTATTCACTGTATTCGGCTACCTATTTAGTCTTAAACAACATACAGGCCAGTAATTTGAAAGGACAGCTCCAGTCTGATTGGTTGGGTGCTAAGTAACTTCTGGGAGTAAAGGGGTGTGAATGTTTGCATCAGTCTGCAGTCAAACAGTTTTCCAAGCATGTTGGCTGGAGTGAGTGCTTGCAATGAGGAATTATTTTTCCAAAGTTTGCTTTGATTATTTGCAAGAGTTTGCTTATTGTATATGAGCACAAATGTGAAAACAAAGAAAATATATCTGAATGAAAAAGTAGCTAGTACTTATTATTTTTCCACTAATTTGCTTGGTCATTACAACTTTTCATGGGGACTAGGGATGTGCATCTCCATAACTGAGGCCGATGCAATATGCAAATAATGATGCATTGCGTTACAAATGCCAACTGGTATCCGATGCACACCTTTTTAAATCAATGCATCACATCGTTAACTTTTATGTTGATGCACCGATGCGAAGCGGTGAATCTTACAATCCCAAATGGGGACTAATTCATTGTTATTTGATTGAGCTACCACTGTATTGCATGTAGGTCCGTTACTGTGGTTTTGTTTAAGGCAGGGGTTACGATCCTGCTCCTGGAGGTACATGTCCTGCAGAATTTAGCTCCAAACCCAATAAAACACTTGAAATAGTTAATAAAGGTCTTCAGGACCACAGCTAGAAACGTTCAGGCAGGTGTGTTTGAGCATGTTTTAGCCAAACTCTGCAGTATGTTAGCCCTCCAGGAGCAGGATTGGTCACTGCTGATTTAAAAACAAAGTCTGGTCAGACGTGTGGTTCAGACCATAGGTCTTCAATCCTGCTCCTGGGGACCCACTGTCCTGCAGAGTTCAGCTCCAACCCTAATCAAACACACACGAACCAGCTAATCAAGGCCACCTGTAAAGTCACAAGCCAGAAGTGCTAAAGCAGGTTGGAAATCAACTTTGCAGGATGGTTGGTCCCCAGGAGCAGGGTTGAAGACCTATGGTTCAGACGATCTCTTCCAGTCTAAACAGGTGGTTCTTGGGCAACATAAGCTGCGATGTGGACCAGACTTAATGCTTATGGTGAGACCACAAACTAAACACACCATAGAGTTCTGTGTTGTAGTCTAGACCAGCTCATTTGAGTCTAAGTACAGACTCAGACCTGAGTAGGTTGAGTGCGAGTCAAGACCGAGACAATTGTAGGGTCGAGTCCGAGTCAAGACTGATTCCAAATGCTCCCAAGAATAGTGAGACATTGGCTTACACAACTCCATGACTAGTCAACACAGACCCAACACACCAACTAGTGGCAGAACTAATCAACTAGTTGGTGCAACTCCTAGATCAGGAGTAGCCAATACCGCTCCTTGGAGGGCTTAACTTCCTGCAGACGTCAGTTCCAAACCTGCTCCAACGCACATGCTTGTTATTTTCAAGTAATCCTGAAGACTTTGATTAACTAGTTCAGGTATGTTTTTATTAAGATTAATTTTTGCAGTTTTTTGCCTTTATTGCAATAGGACAGTGTAGACGAGACAGAAAGCAAAGTGGGAGAGAGAGGGTGGGTAGGGATCTGGAAAGGTCCTCGAGCCGGGAATCGAACTCGGATGCCCGTAACGCAACAGCGTCATATGTCGGCGCACTGCCCCACTAGTCTATTGGCACCGATGGTTCAGGTAGGTTTGACTAAGATTAGAGCTGCAGCCCTCCAGGTACAGGGTTGGCTATCCCTGCCCTAGAGTCTACAGATGCATTTGTGAGTTTTTGCAGAATCATAAAAAAGTCCTGGGTTTCTTAGGATTGGCAAAATTGGTAACTATTACCTCTTTTCTACTGGAACTGGTGCAGGAGCAAGAGTGGAGGCTTTGCCAGGGCTCGTTTTCCAATGACCAATGACTGATCAAGACCAGCAAGATTTCAGGCTGGTTTGGAAACAGAATTTGGGCACCAAACACTTTTTGTGTGTGGAAAAGCACTGCCCACTTTCAGATTTGGCACTGGCACCATCCCCAGAAAAGCAGAAGCTGAGCATTCTGGCATGCTAGCAGGGCTGAGCAGTACAGTCGACGTCTCTATGTAATTCCTAGGGCCTGGGGGTCAAGGTGCTAAAGGATAAGCCCCAGGAAGAGTGTCCTTACCTTGCAGAGCGTTCCCCAACAACGCATCCAGTTCTGGGTTAAACTCTGCCTTCTCTTTCAGCATGTGGAAGAGCAGCTGGTTTTGGGTGGCACTGTTGATCTCAGTTTGCTTGAGACGCCCTTCCAACACCTTTATCTGAGATTCCTTCTGAGCAGCCTGCAGACCCTGAAAGCACACAATCAGGATGAATGACAAATGTGTTAAAGCTTGAAAAATGAATGAAACTGTATGAGAATTGATCTTTTCACTTTATAGAGTCTAACACAGAAGACCAAGCAGGGTAACAGTTTTGTGTCTGGATACCTTGTTGATAGCCATGGACATAAAATGATCCAGTAGGAATCGAGTTTCAGACAGAGTGCAGGAGCCAACCACAGCCGAGACATCAACAGCATCACCCTCCTCCTACATATGAACAACAACAGTAAGCCCTCGATATAATTCAGTCAAACTCCATTTATACTAACTTCAATGGTTTGATTTAGGCTGCATTTACATTGCATGGTGACCCAATTTCAATTTTTTTCCTCAAATGTGGCACAGATCGGATATGACCCACAAACGTGTAAGCAGGAAAAAACACATGGATTTCAATATTCTCAGATCGGTTTCAGGCTTCATTCATATGTAGAAATAAATCTGATGTGAATCGGATACGTGCATTTGCGTCTGCCATGTAAGCAGACAGATCGGATATTTCAGGTGGATGCTTTCCTGGGCAGACACTTTCATGGTTTTCCAATGGAATTGAGCTACTTTTATACTGTTGTTTGATGGAGTGGATTCCCGACGGAGAGGAAAACCATGGAAAAACAACCCTGTTTCCATATCAGTATGTCTACCTTTGTTTGTTTTGCCAAGCGTATATTGTAATTGCAGATATTTAAAGAAAAATTCAAGTGGTTTAATTTAAAGAATATAGATCTAAGTAGTTTTATTGATTAAAATCAGATGATCAGAATTTGATAATTTCAGTTAAATGACCGAAACATTACAAAGGGTAATTTCAGTGATGGTACCTAACGTCAGTGAAATCATTCAGAATCATTTAATTGAACTGATGCAGTGTCATTACAGTAAACTGATTCAGATCATCAGATTTAATGAATTAATTAAATTTGTATCTTTGCTTTGTTGTATTTATTTGTTATTACTTGTAATTTGTTTAATTGTTCTTATTTTACTACTAAATGTTTTCTCTTTAATAATGTTTAAACTTTATATTAGTTAGGCTAGTAGTTTTTGTATAAAAAAATTGGAATTAAAAATGGTGAAATTTCACTTCTATTTAAAAATGTGTTCATAAAACAAGTGAAATACTACACAACTACTTCAGATATGTGGTCAAGCAGAACGCTGCATTTATGAATGTAATGTGTGTGTGTGTGCGCGCGTGTGTGTGTGTGTGTGTAAAGAAAGATTGTGATTAATCTTGTGATTACGAAATCACAATACTGATCAAAAAATCATGATCGTTTTTTGTCCATACCACACACAGACCTAGTTTATATGTGGTTGTTCATTGCTATAAAGTAAAGACGGATACATCTTACAAAAGTTCTCTCTAGTATAACCAAATTACATTTATTTTCATATTTAACATCACAACAGACACTTACCACTCAGTTTAGCAAACATGATATTTAATCTTAAATTAATCATAAAAATATATTTACATGAATGTACATGGATGTACTATATACGCATGTACATTACACAATCATACATTAATATATAATTTATTTATTTACATAAATATATTATGTCATCATAGTTTATAAAACTGTACATGATGCAAGTGTTCTGGGAGTAGGGAGCAGTGAACACTACGTAGTGATCCTGTCAATCAGAAAGCATCTAAAGCAGTTTCAGCCAACTGATTGCGAGTCGCCTCACCTTGGCTTCCTCCATCTGCATGATGTTGGCCTGGCAGTCAGAGATGCTGTCGTTGATGTAGTCGATGTTGGCCAGCAGAGACTCCAGCTCCTCATTCAGAGACTGAACGTCTTTTTCTACCTCCGGTTCTTCTGCCAGCAGTCTCTCTCTCTTTCTGCCGATCTTATCCCGTCGGCGCGTTAGCTCTTCACGTTGCTGTGAAAGGGATTTCAAATGACGAGAAGCTGAACAATTTTGTACATAGCCTTATTTTTCTTTTTATTTAAATGCAGAGGCACTTCCTTCAGCCTGAGGCTTATTAATTTCACTTTTGGTGTGAAAGGGCCTTTACAATTGGCAAAAATTACTTTTGATTTTTTTTTGTGACAAAAAGTAACGCAACAGTAACGTAATGCATTACTTTCCATAAAAAGTAACTAAGTAATGCAATTTGTTACTTTTTTATGTACTGTAATGCATTACTTTTAAAAATAACTTTCACCAACACTAGTTATCTCACAATTACATTGGCATTAAAGCAGATTTAACATTGTTAAGTAGGTAAAAGGTTGATTCATACCTTTAGAAGACGATTCATGTCGGTCTCCATGTTGGAAATGGTCATGCGTGGCATGATAATATCGGAGCCACGGCGTTCCAGACTCTGCCATTTCCCACGAGCCACTCGGGTAGAGTACGCCCCAACCGGCCTGCGATGGTACAATCTAAAGCAAACAGTTGTCCGTCACTGCAGTTAATGATCATTTTAGTCATTTTAATTTAATGTAGCTTTATATTATACTTACATTTATACTTTTTTTTTTTCAGTTAGTTGCCAACGCATAGTGTATAGGTGCATCAGTGTAGTTTTAGTATTATTTATATAATATTATAACATTAAATCATTAGCTTTTATTTTAATATTTTCAGCTTTAGTTTAAGTTTTAGTAATTTAGTGCCTGAGGCTTATTAATTTCACTTTTGGTGTGAAAGGGCCTTTACAATTGGCAAAAATTACTTTTGATTTTTTTTTGTGACAAAAAGTAACGCAACAGTAACGTAATGCATTACTTTCCATAAAAAGTAACTAAGTAATGCAATTTGTTACTTTTTTATGTACTGTAATGCATTACTTTTAAAAATAACTTTCACCAACACTAGTTATCTCACAATTACATTGGCATTAAAGCAGATTTAACATTGTTAAGTAGGTAAAAGGTTGATTCATACCTTTAGAAGACGATTCATGTCGGTCTCCATGTTGGAAATGGTCATGCGTTGCATGATAATATCTGAGACACGGCGTTCCAGACTCTGCCATTTCCCACGAGCCACTCGGGTAGAGTACGCCCCAACCGGCCTGCGATGGTACAATCTAAAGCAAACAGTTGTCCGTCACTGCAGAATGAGGTCATCTCCAGTACACACATGACCGCACATGAAGCCTATATAATGTACCTGGCTCCATTAGGTGCTCCTGAGGCCGAGTATGTGCGACCTGCAGGTGGTCTGTGAGAGAGGTCCTGGCTTGCCTCCAGCAGGTTCACCTTTCGTGTGACCTTTCCTGATATGGGTCGCACCTGTCTCCTCAGAGAGGTCACCTGAGACAGAGCAGCAATCAGTACAGGAAACCCTGGGAAAATGCAGTTTAGCCTCTTCTTACTTGCCAAAATTAACTGAGAGATTAAGAAAATTAAATATATCTAAATACTCAAATTGAAGGATCAATGTTTGTAGGGTAATTTTTCACTTACATAGTAGTAAATCTTCATAATGTTCAAATGTATTATATGATTTATTTAAGCACTTAAGATAATAAATCTACAACTTAGAGGCTCCAAAAAGCATCTGGGAACTTATAGTATTTATCACAATTTTTAATTAGCTTTTATTTTATATATATATATATATATATTAAGTTTCAGTCATTTTAATATGCTTTTGTCATTTTTATTTTTTGTTTTTGTTCTAATTAGCTTAAGTTAATTTTTTTCATCTAATATTTTATATTTTCTTTCTGTTATTTCAGCTTTATTTCAATTGACATGTTTTCTAATTAGTTATAGTTATCAAAAACAGTGCTGCTTGTAGGAAGAATAACGCAATGCCCCTTACCTTTCTGTCTGTTGATGCTTTGGAGGAACAGGGACAGATCAGCCTCTTTCTCTGTGGTGGAACTCACGATACTGCTTTTGCTTTTATTCTCCTTCTCCTGACTGGAATGCTGCTCTGGAGTCACTGTAGACGTTCCCATTACTGCAGGCCTGGGTTTGGTTGACCAGCTGTCCTCTGGTTGTGGCTTGGGCTTCTCAACAGGTGCTGCTTTCTCTTTTTCCTTCTCTTTTTCTTTCTCTGTTTCTTTCGAGGTGCTATCTGGGGGGCCGA